GTGGTTAGGACTCTGAATAAAGCAGAGCAATGGACTAGAACCCAGGTCTCCCACATTAGCAGTCTGCCCCGGCCTAATTTTAGGTCACATGCAGACCTAATCCCACCCTTCCCCCCCATACCTGAGTTGCCACAGCTGCCACTACCTCCTGCCCCTGTGGTGGGCTGTCCTCCTCCTGCTTGGAGTCAGTGCACCAGTGGCTATGTGGCTGCCATCCATTGCTCCTTGATGTCCTGTGTGCATGTTGTGGAGTGAGAGGAGCTGCCATTCCTCGGCAGGCATATCCTGGAACACAGCCCAGCGAGGTGGTAGTGGCTGGGAGAAGCAGAACACACTGACACCCCAATGCCAACCCCACGGGCAGGAGGAGGAGAGCTGACCTAACCCAAGCCCAAGAGGGTTTGGTTGTTTTCCCACCCAACCCAGACCTAGCACTTGTAGTCTCGTCCCAGTGGGTTTGGGTTGGATGCAGGGCTCTATCCCTCTCCATAATGGTTGCGGAACCACTGGTACAGAGAGTCTGTCTCTCAATTGCTCCAACTGGAGCAGATCCACATTGTATAAATATTCACTGGGGGTGAGAGAGACAGAGACAGAGACTCTACAGCCCAGTGGTCAGGACACTCACCTGGGATGCCAATAGCCTGGTGGCTAGCTAGAGCACTTGCCTGGAGCATGCAAGACCCTGATTTCAAGCAGAGACTTGAAACTGATCTCCCAGACCCCAGGCAAGCACCAGGCTATTAGCTCCTTTGGTCTCCCTTGTACTCGTTTGGGTTTGTTTGTTTGGGTGAAAACATTTCAAGAAGTTTCATTTACTTTTTGCATCGGAACAAAAACTGATTTTGAAACCTTGAAATCTATTGTGAACCACAGTTGGTTTTCAGGCAGCCCAGTGTGTCCAAACACATGGGGTTCATAAGCTCACAGCCAGATTGTCCATCTTCCCAAACCAACCATCCTCCAAACCAGGACGACAGTAATCTCACAAGTATTGCCTTCATAAACATCACCACCACTCTGATGGACTGTGATGATTTCAAACGGTCACCCACCTGCTGCGTGAGGACACCCTCTCCTCCTCCTTCACATCTCTCCTCCAGGCTGACTTCACCCATGGAGCTTACAAGTCACTTCAATCGCTAGGCCAAGGAGTCTTGGGTCAGTGGGTGAGGGGCAGTTGGGGGAAATCAACATTTATGTAATTACAAAACTAAAGTAAATTGAGTAGTGACTGTGTATGGATAGCAAATGCTAGGAAATCTAAACAGTGTGTGTGTGTGTGTGTGATTGCCACTTCCCCTATAATACAAATGGTAAATATTTCATTGCCTTCATCTCCTCCTCCCTTTATACACGGTTTGTCTTCAAACTGTACACTCTTTGGCACACACAATATATATACCTCTGATTTTATACAGCACTTAGCAAAATGGGGCCCTGATTCTGAATGGAGCTTTTGAGAGCTAATGTAATATAAATATTTAATAATCATAATAAGAATTACAATAAGAATTTGTAAATACTGTAACAATGTGCCTCGAAGTATCACCTTTAGCAAATGGTGCTTTTATCTTTGCTGCTTAGACTTGTGCATGGCTTTGATAAGAGGTACAGATGCTTTTTTATAGGGGCCCAATATAATATTTCAGAATGTATGGCACATGGTACAATACCCAGCAATGATTCATGCAGAAGCTAGTCACAAATTAAGTCTGCTTTTGTACAAAACAAAGAAAGGAAACAGAAATCACTTATGTGAAAGGAGGAGAGTTGGGACCAGTTAATGTCTATAATGCATATATATTCTATGGGCTTTTAAAAATGCAAGTTATTGATTCAATACCCTGTTTTGGCTGCTTTGGAAGTAGAGCTGGGTGACTAATAGATTTTTTGGTTCGTTGGCAATTTTGAAAAATAAAAAAATTGTTTCAGGTCAAACCAAAAACAAGGTTTCTCAAAATTTTTGGTAAATCGAGTAGTTGAAAAAATATTGTTTTAGGTCAAAACATGTTTTGTTTGACCCAAAATAAAAATGTTTCCTTTAGATATGAGGCATTCATGTTTTTTAAAATTTTAAATAAAGTTAAAAGATTTTTTAAAATGTCATTTTGAATAAAAAAAATCAAAATGGTTTCTAAAATACTGAAACAAAATGTTTCAATTTTTTTTTATTTTGAGGGTTTTTTTCAAACACCGAAACAATTCACCAAAAGCGACACAAATTCGCAAAACTTTTTAGTGTCGCCAAATCTGCATTCCTCCCCCCCACCAAAAAAAAACACAACTGTCACTTTTTGACCATTTCTACTTGTAAGTACCTCGAGGCAGGGAAAACACCTTCCTGTGCACATATATTTTGTAGGCACAATTGGGTATGAATTCTAATTGAAACCAATGGCAGCTTCAGCAATAGAAGTAAGTGATAATTTGAAACTACGCTATTCCATTCTTGGGGGCAAAATTTGCCTTTGAAACACAAATGCAACTCGGATTAAATTCAATGCAAGTAACACGCACCAATGCAAGGCAGAATGTGACAGAGTTTACATAGATATGACAGAAAAGAGCACATCAGTAGGGCTTCATTGTACAAACACTATGTGTGCTCTAAAAGCATGGTGGCAATTTTGCTGAAAATGTTGTGTATTCTAAGTAGCCGTGGTTCCCAATAAGATAACAGGCTAGGTTCATTTGTTTTTCAAAATAGCTGGAGATTGCAGATGTCCTGTCAATATTTTAACAAGGGGTGCCCACAAAATTCCATGCTCCCCCAGTCTATGAACAAACCAATGGGATCAGGGGTGGGGAGGATAGGTTGCTGCAGAGAGGAGGGGTAAAGACCCATGGGATCTATTCATTTGTTTTTCCATTTTAAAGAAAACACTTCCACATAATCATAATCAAGGATGGAGTCAACACCCTCCCGCCCTCTTTTTTGTGTTTTTGTTTGGTAAATAAACTTGCATTAAAAGCACTTTGTTGGCTATTTTTATACTTTATTGCTGAAAAAATTATACTGAGCTTATTGATAGTATAAAACAGTATTCAGCTTGTTTAATTAGAAGTGGGGAAGGATAGGGGCAGTGTGTGTGTTTGAGAGAAGGCCTTGTGAGGGAACCAGGTATATGCCACCCTGGGAACATTTTTGGAAAATAACTGACATTTAGTGTAATCAGGTACTTTCCACAGGGGAAGGTTTGTTCTTTATGAGCCCTAGGAATTGCAATACTGGACCAGCACAGTGACCCTTCTAGTCCAGTCTCTTGCAGTTGCCAGTAAAACATGCTCCAGAAAAAAGAAAAGCCCATAATAGATAATTATGGAATAACTTGCCTTTGCGAGAAGTTTCTTACCAACTCCAGAGAGAGAGGAGGGGCAGGAATTATTCGGAATGGTTAGAAAGGGGGGTGAACTCCCTAAGGGGCAGGAAAGCCATCCCAACTCTCCCTTCAGCATGGCAGGAGAATTTTAATAAGGGGTTCCTGAGAGTCCCCTCGAGCCTGCAGCTGCTAAAGATACCTGTTAATCAGTTTACAGTTAATAATTAAACCATTGCTTTGAGATAAACCAACAGCCCCAGATTAGTGCAGTGGATTGATTAAATTCCAAAGATATCAAAGTCACTGGTAAAGTTGCCAGGTTCTGGCTAAATACTATAATTGGCTGTTTTTTAAAAGATATATCCAGTGTTTATTCTTCAAAAGGAAACATGGGAAAATTCTTGCAATGGCAGAAATACGGTAATTCTGGAGGACTGACCCAGTGACTGATATCTTTGAAGGGCTTTTGCCACGTATGCTCACCACTAATCCACAGGGGTTGCTAGCCTCTCACACTCTGCTTGACATGGCTACAGCAGTACAAAAGCTTCAAATCAGCTAAACTGCATTTCTTTCGCTGAACACCTTCAGGATGGCCTCAAGTGCAAATTTCAGGTTTAGTTAATTTGTACTGAGGGCACTCAGAGGCAATATAATGAAACAATTTCTGTTTTTCAGTCTGAAAGGCAAAGGCCCAATCAGGCTCTCTCTGATGTCAGCTGTAAAATTCCCATTGCCTACTATGGTAAAAATCAATTTTCTTTATTGTCTCTTTTCCAGGAAGCCAAATCAGACTTCCCTATGTATATAAATCTATGGATACAATTCATGCTGGTGCAATAAGCCAGCACGAGGTCCTCCACACCATTTAAAGCATGCAGCTGAAGTGGAGTCCCTTAGTTTACCCATAGTGGTGTATGGATAGGTTCTCTGCACACCTGTGTGCTGAAGAGGTTTGTGTGTCAGCCTAGCACAGGCTGGTTTGGGAAGTGGCAATCGGAGGAGAATGGAGGATAGACCATACAATCTGCCACTATGTGGTCAGTTTCCCTATTACCTTATTCTAGAAGTATGGAGGGACAGCAGCTACTATATTCCAGCCCATAAACTGCGGTACTGACCACAGAAATGGGGGATCAGCATATCTGCAGCCCCTACACCCTGCTTCTTTGGGATAGTGGCTTTTGTCTCCTCAACCCCTCCAGTCCCATATCCTTTGCCCACAAAAATGTGATTAATCTGATTGTGGATGGATTACTAGGGGTGCTTTGCCTTTCAGTTGTGTGTTGCTCTGTAAATTAACAAAGCTATCTCCTCAGCCTTATCTTCATTATTCATCTATATTCTCTCACACCTTTAAATCCCAGGTACAAAAGGGAAAACTGATCCATTTTCACTTTGCACCTAAACGCATTTGCAGATTCTTCACTTGCCATTTGAATCTATGTAGGTCTTTTTATGCACTCTAACGGGAGAATAAATGAATCCTGAGAGGATGAAATTCATTTATGGTCAAAGGAAGAAGGGCTACCACAGTGTCTGTGCATTTGAGAGTTAAAGCTGCTATAACGTGAGATTCAGAAAGTTATTTGAGAGTCGACTGGATAAAAACCCATGGCAGCTGGTCATGATGCAAAAGTCTCTCACACACACTCTCTCTCTCTCTCTGTAGGAGCAAGACAGAGAATCCTCTTTTTGCAGTGCTGTATCACCCGCCACTAGTCCAAGGAATAGCATTCACTCCAGCTTCACAATGAGTTGTTTACTGGCCTTGGCTGCCTGTGAGAGCAGCCAGAAGAGAGCGGAGAAAAAGGAGAATAAACAAAATGAAATCAGGGTATGTGAGCTGTTTGGCTAAGTTTTAAAAACCAAAGTTTAAAAGCAGACTCAGGATCCCAAGCAGAGGGCTGGAGAAGGCTGGGAGAAAAGAAACTGACCACTACTTGCCATAAGAAAGCAAAGCTGAATAATTTGTCCACTAACATTGCTCTTCCTCCCAGACAGAAGACACCCCAAAACCTTTTCCTAGCTGAAGGGCCGGCATTGAAGGTAAGAGAGAGAAATAAAACTCCTGGTTAATTGGTAAGTCAGGAGCCAGATTTACTGAGACAATAAGATTTAGCAGACTGGGCTATAAAGACCTGAGAAGTGCTACCTCTCTGGAGATTGTGAACTTTATAATGATCTCCATAAACATTTGAAATTCAAACTACGTCAAACGTTTTCAGCAGGAACCTAAGGCTTTCAGAGCAAACTGAAATCTGTTCTTGCTCATTTTTATCTAAACAGTTGCACCTAGAATTTCATTATCTTTATAAAGTTTCATTTTGCAGCCAGAGGGTGTTCTATGGTGCATGCCTGAGGCAGAAATCTCTTCTTTACCCTCTTTTTTTTTTTTTTTTTATATTGGGGTGGGGGAAACACAATCACTGTAGTTGTGGAAACACAAAGTTTGAGCTTTCAGACCTGGGTATCCCCTTGCTTTACAGTTGCTAGTCTAAAACAATACTCTGCTACAAGCACACACACACACACACCGGCTGCGTCAGCCAACCAACTGCTCAGGAAATAAGCTTTATCTATTGTCGAGCAGTACTTAAGCTGCTAATTCTTAACTCTCAAGGGTGCTTTTCCTCGGCAAAGCGCGTCGGGGGAAAACACAATCAGCCCAATGACTGGTGACTAAAAACACAGAGGACGGGGCGGGATCACAGCTACTAATAATACCTTCTTATCCAATGAAAAACATTTCCTATTGAGACCCCCAAGAGTTCCCCCTGCTCTCAGATCCTGCATAGACATTGGGCCTTTTCTTACGTCCTGTTTCCTAAGGCATGATGGCTGCAACGTTCAGCAGTTTTCCTCCCCTAACAAAGGAATGGAGATAACTGCTAGTAGCCTCACATTTTAAAGGATGAACGACAATCAGTAAACAGCTAGAGCAGGGAGATTTTACTTATGGGATTAAACAAACCTTCATTTAAAAAAATGGATAAGTCTATGGACTGCCAGAGAGGAATCTGTCTGAGATCTGCTAACTAGGTAGCTGTCTGGAGGCATGATATCTCTAGCCCTGTATCTCTTGGGTAAGTTTCTATTTTTATTTATTAATTTTCTGGTTCAGTTATAAAAGTGTACAGATTTAATGTCAGCTCTGAGAATCTGATTTTAATACTTTTTAATTCACTGGGTCAGACTGATGCCTGCTGTAACCAATAGAATGATTTCACTAGAAATAATTCTAGCCCACTAGGTTTGAATTGTGGAATATTTTAGTACTAACCTAACAATACTTTTATCTGGGGAAAGATTTCATTTCTATTGCCCAAGCCATAATATTGTTTCTATGAAAGAAGTGCTAGTTTCTCACAGTGATGTAGCAACATGTTTACAGTGAAAAGATTATCTCCAAGTTTTTGGAATGCAAACTCTGCAAAACTACTTACTTGCTATGAATTATTGCAATGCAAACCATTGCAATGCACGCTATCTCCTGAAGTCAGTATGACAAATTAAGGACCTCTGTCAGAGTTGTGTTTAATTAGCTAACTAACGTGTTTCAGCTAATCCAAAAAATAGCAGCTTGTTCAATAATAAATTGTTTAGAGCATTTTTTAACATTTTGCATTCAGTATCTCAAAGATACTGTTTAACATAGGTTTAAACAAGCGAGCTCTATATTAAACAATGCTAATTTAGGCTGTCATCCTGCAAAGATTTATATGCACAGCTTTATGCACTGTGACAGTGCATACAGTTAAGCACATGCCCAAATCTTTGCAGGATCAAGGCCCTAGAAGCTATATTTCCAGAATTGAGTATAAGAGTCAAAATTTCTCATTTTGTAAAACTGTTTTATTTTAAAGAATTAAGGGGCATTCATTTGCAGCCAAATTCTGCTCCCTTTTAATCAATGGAAAAACTCCCAATAGGGATTTCAATAGGGCCATGGTTTGGCTATAAGTATATATAAAAACTTATCAAATGTAAAATTTATTAGGCATATAAGATACTTAGTTATTAAAATGTGATGCTTTTAAAAAGACAATTACAATAAAAATCCCTTAGTTTTTTCACCATCTCAAGAATGATTTGCAGCAGATACTTTTAAATAATAGTGCTGAGTTTTTCTTTAAGACCAGGCAGTTCTATAATTTATTATTACTCCAATAGATGAATACAATAGTTAGCAAAACCTAAAGGATGAGGAAGTTCAAAGCTCAGTGAGGATATCCTCTCACCCTACAATTCTTTTTCCGTCCTCCTTCTCTTACTAGTATTATGAAAGCCAAAGCAAACCTATCAGGAAGCTAACCTTACTACTTTAAAGAGTTCAAAGCTTATTAACTTAAAGAGTCCTGAAAAACATGGGGAGGGGGAAAAAGGACTCAGTGTACATTTCTTTTTACTCCTTAGAGACTAAAAATGAGACTTCTCCTGACTAGGGTATAGGTCAGTTGATAAAACCAGTGTCCTTTAAATTCTGGAGATAGAAGTTCAGAACATACAGAGAAAGTACAAATAGAACCATGCCTGAATGCAGTTACCTATTAACTTTCATTTCAGAAGATGTGGTTTGACAAGGAACACAAAGAAAATACATCAACTTGTCTCTCGTCAGGGCCGGCTCTAGGCACCAGCAAAACAAGCTGGTGCTTGGGGCGGCACATTTTTAGGGGCGGCATGGCCGGCGCCAGAATGCCGCCCCTGCCGCCCCTAAAAATGTGCCCCGGCCACCCTAGCTCACCTCCGCTGCTGCCGCTCGCGCGCCGCTGCTCGCCCTCCCTCCCAGGCTCTCAAACCTGGGAGGGAGGGGGAGATCCCGAGCGGCCGCGGCGTGCGAAACAGCTGATTCGCGCGCCGCTGCTCACCCTCCCTCCCAGGTTTGAGAGCCTGGGAGGGAGGGGGAGACTCCGAGTGGCCGCGGCGCGCGCGCTGCTTCTCCCCCTCCCGCCTAGGCTTGAGAGCCTGGGGGGAGGAGGCAGGGCTGAGGATTTGGGGAAGGGGCGGAGCTGAGGCGGGGCCGGGGGTGGGGTAAGAAAAAAACGGGGGGGATGGGGGGGGGAAGACGCGGCCAAAATTGTTTCTGCTTGGGGCGGCAAAAATCCTAGAGCCGGCCCTGTCTCTCGTCATGTTTTCTGGCAGAAGTGAGATATTAATGTTAACAGTTTCTAAGTGTTGCAGATCACAAGCAGCAGAAAAGATGCAATCCTAGCAGTAGCACTTTTTTTTTTTTTTTAGAGGCTGTGTGACATAACAGATAGAACATGGGACTAGGAATAGGAAACTTTATATTCTAGTATCTAGTACTGCCACTTTTAAGGGTATGTCTGCACTACAGAATTAGCCCAGGTTTTTACCCAGGTGTTGCTCCTAGCTCCTGTCCTATCCACCCTCAAAAACTTCTCACCCGAGAGAAGTGCTTTCAACCCTGGGTTAGAGCCCAGATTCTGCTTTCACTGGAACTAGTAACCCACCCACTTTGCAGTGAGGATGCAGGGTAAATCACTGCAGTATTGATAGTCCACCAATGCCTTGCCACAATTTCACCCGTGTGCTCAGAACAGAACTTCTCCCACAATTGACTGGGAAAGAATCAGAGCAGCTCAGCTTACCGCAGCATGAAGGATCATGGGATGTGCCCGCAGAAGTCCTAATGACACACCTGGGGGAACACAGCATCAGTGAGGACACAGTAACTTGGATGTGGTTTTACAGCGTGGTCACTCACATCCAGGCCAACTCTGCAGAGAATTCATACCCTTACATGCAGGTTGGGTCTAAGCCTGTCCCCATTGACTTCAGTGGTGCAAAACCAGACCCGCTAAGTTCTGGATCTGTTTCCAAAATAGGGAAAAACCATAAGTAAAACCCTGCCATATCTCATAGGATTAACAGCATTACAAGGTTTACTAAATGTTTGCAAAGAGCTGTCTACGTGTAAATCACTATAAAATTGCTCTGTATTTTTATTAATATTATAGGATTTCTTCAGTCAATTGACCACAATTGTCAAAGTATTTATATCCATATTCTTCCAAGTCTACTTATGTTAATTTTTTAAGATATATTTGTGTTTGTTAGAGTTCACCAAAATGTGAAATCTAGTTATAGAAGATTGCAGCCCTAGCTTGCCTGCTGGAATTTAGACCAGGTTGGTAGTGAAGAACATTCATTACCATGACGCATTGTTGGCCTTCCATACGTAAAGCAAGCTGATTAAATCAATCCAGTCCCTGGCTATTTGCATGGACAGCTGTTCACTGCCACAAATGACATTCTATTTAACTATCCCAACAGACAGACATAGGACTGAATGGGTATGGAGCTGAAATCCCCATCCATCCCCAGTGGGGTCTTACCAAGTCAAGTGGGTATAAAGGATTGCTCTGCTGCTATGCTTGTTCCATAAATAATATGACTTTAGTCTCTGGGGACATGAAGCCACCACCTTTCACAAAAGCTAAATTATTTTACTGGAAACAGAAGTTATCTATTCACCAGAGCAGACAGTGGTGGTACATGTTTTGCTCAAATGCACCATCTCCTGCATTTACTCAAGAGAGACTATGCTCTGAAAGGGTGAAGACCTATTCAGTTTCAGTAACAGTTTAGCCTGTCCTTAAATGAGAGAGCTTTCTGAATTATTTGTAGTTTTGTTTTCTAGAAAATTCAAAAACTATCTTTATCTTGGCAAGTTTGAGCAAGTGAATTTGAACAATGTTCATCAGTCATTCAACTTTAGAAATGAGTACATATGAAGGCAACAATAGCTTGCTTTTGTATCATAGGTCTTAATGAAATATACACAATATGCTTTTTCATAATACTTTAAAAAGTTATGTATGTTCACAAAGAAAGTCACATCTGAAAAGCTACTTTTTTTTAGCATTTTGGGGGTTTCACTTTGGAACCTACGGATACGGTCTTCTCTCTCAAGATGTTTTTGTTTTCAAGTTAAACATGAGTTGTATTGCATTACTCAAAAATAACACCACCTCCCCTCAAACCATGCTGTAGTTTTCCCACCATTCTCTGTCATTCGTGGA